GGCAATTGCTTCAAACCACCATTATATCTAAATTTCTAAAACACAAATGCATAAGTTATATTTTTTTGCCTTAGCTAATAGATTATATCGGCATATTTTTTTAAAAAGTTTTAAATCCAAATTATTGACAACAAATTTTTAGAGAAAAATCTGTAGATTGATTAATAACATGTAAACGTTACTCTAATATTAGGTTTCCATTATCTAAGTAAAAACAAGTCTCCTATTTCTGCCTCACATTTGAAAATAACTACAGAATTAAGGGAAAAAAATCATGGTTTTGTATTGATGACATTCTTTTCCCATAGTTTTAATTCTCCTTATTTTTGTTATAACTTTATTCTTTTCCAGTACTTACCAAAGTTTCAATTTTTTTCTTCAAATTATCCTTGGAAGGCAGATAAAACTGAGATTTACACACAAAATATCTGCATAACAATTGGTCTCAGGTTCATTAGTGGGCATGGGTTCAAATTAATATTCATTTGTAAAATTTGTGAAATCAGTACTTGGAGATAAGACAAGTTTATCTTAGTTTTGGTCGATAAAACCTAGACCATGTGCTCATGAATATGCTGATAATCCTCCCCATGAATAAGCTGTAAGGAGAGGGGCACTCTGGTAAACCAGCTGGTTACTATTTCATTCTATCACTGCTATTGAATACACGACATGGAATGGTCAGGAGTCTCTATGGTTTTATGAGAAACACAACTGAGCTCAGGTTAACCTAAACCTGAATAGAGAAATACCAACAGATTTATACAAAAGTTTATGCCACCTTACCGTTTTTCAAGTTATGTTCCAAGTTAAAGGAAATAAAATTTCTCTGAAAATTGGGCTCCATCCAATAACCTCAATAAAGTATAGAGCTCCAGCCTCAATACCATAGGGATGGTATTTATTTATGTAGATTTATGTTGGGTTGAGTTGAGATTTCTGTTCTTTTAATTGGTAGTAAGGTAGGAAACATATCATACATTTAATTAAAACCATGAAGCAATAATAAGATAAACCTTCCTTTACATTTTAAAAGTAAATACACTATTTTGACCATTTTTGCAAACAATAATATTAATGTGTTAGTTTTGCATAATACTATCTCTTTTAAGTTAACGAACTAGTTTAAAGGGAAAAAAGGAACAAAATATGGTCTAGGAAAATATTTGCAACTTATCATCTGATAATAATACTAGTAACCTAATAAACGTAGACCCTAATTCAGTTCACAGCCAGAGATTCCATTTTATTTTCTAATAATAATAAGTAAGACTTCTATTACGTCTTTAAAAATTAAATTCACTTCTTTGTTTTTTGTAAAATAACATTAAATTAAAAAACTAATTTGATTTTAAGATTACTCAAATATGGGAAAATTCAGATTATTTGATCTAATCTGATTTAATGAACAATATTATAATCCTAATTAGACATGAAAAAACAATAATCTGGATTTATTGAGGACTTTTCTGTTTAAATTGGAATGGCAATAGAATGTATAAAAATATATTTTCTATTATTTAAATGGGTTTTGTTGATTTAATTATCACATATCTAATCACGTGTTCTCTTTTCCTGAATCACACTAGACCAATATTTATATTCCAAATTTTACAAGTAAATGTATTCTACCTATTATTTCTTCAATTTTGCACTAATGAAGACTATTTACCTTCAAAATTATAAACCAATTTATAAGTAGGTGAACTAAAATTAAGATGTGAAAACTATCCGGATACTTTGATTGCATAACTTCTATTCTTAAAAGAATTTGGGCAGAAATGGTTGTCTATGTGAATAAATGGGAAAGATATTGAGATATCTGTTTGGTACACAGACCTGATCTCGTGTTTCTGGTCAATTTTTATTTTCCACCTAAATGCATCAAAACGTTTTCTGATATTAAATGAGAGGATTTCTTGAAATAATAGTGCAGCATGCTAGAAGTACTTTGGTAGAAAAAGAGATCTTTCCTGAGAAATTATAAACATTTATAGTTCACACATGGACTTCAAAACCAGACACAGACAAATGTTTTAAATAGCTGTGCACTGATTTTCCATCTTAAGTGTCTTCCCTGATCGTCTGATTGAGACAAGAACTGAGGTGCTTCAAACTTGACTCTCTGAGTGTCTTTCATTAACACCATTGGAATGATACAGCTTATGTTTATGGGTTAAAAGCTTCTCTGAATCCTAAACAGAGATAAGGAAGAAAGCCAATTTTGACTTGAAATAATGTTCTTTGAATATATTTGTTTTCTGAAAAGTTGACACCATAATCATATCTCCAAAAACAGAATTATTTTTTCAAGCTGCATTCAAAGTCATACCTAAGAGTATGAAATGTTTCGTTTAGTGAATGCATATTTTGACCCTTTAAAAATCATTTTGTTCATTTATCTATAAAAGTTTCTAAGGCAGTTCTTAAAAATTAAGTTAATATCAAATTTTAACCATGGAGATAAAAATTAAAAGCAAAATATTGTTATAATGGTTACACAATGATCTAAGTTAGAAATATCTAATACTATTAACTGAAGTCTGATTAGTTTTTACGTGTTTTTCAAAGAATTTTTCCACATTAACATAAAGCATATAAGGTAATCTTTTTTGTCTTAATATTATTTTGAAATTTTTATTGAAATAAACTTCTGTTATGTCTCAAATAATGCTAAAATATCTACCAGTGAATGTGAATATTCTCATCAATATGTTAGGGTATTGACTCCCTTTAAACCTGTTTGTATCCTGGGCATCATTGGTGAGTAAAGGACATACACCTTGAACGTGTATGTAACATAATTTTTAAAATTTCAGACCGAGTTCTAATTTATTTTTAATTTTCTGTTATTCCAAGTTTTTCAAAGTGAATGAGTAATTTTACATATTACAAAAATTTACATATTTTAACTAATCAAATAATATTTTGGCATACGCTAAGCTATATTAGGAAAAAAAGACAGTGTAGCAATAACCAAAAGCATATTTCTTAAAGACAACTGAATAGTACAGGTATAACATATTTCAGCTCACATTATTCATATAATTTCTCAACTCTGTGCTTCATTTTACATATTTAGAATTGGCCTTAGACTCTGTGCATTAATTTTATGATCCTATAGGGTACTATCATCCAGAAAAAAAATGAATTCTTTGTGACTGAAAGCATGCATTGATACTCTGATATTCTCTTATCATTAAAGAAAGCAAACTTTAAAATATGAATTCTTATTTCAAGCTTTCAATTATTTTCTCAAATATTGTCTTTGCCTAATGACCCTCAATATTCATTGCCTACTGTTTTTAACAGTATTTTTTTGAAAGATAAAGATTATAAGCCATACTATTAGTACAGTTACAAAAATTTAATTAAATTATGCAATAAAATTATGTTTTTTGGGCGAGCAATTAAATAAAACTTAGAGAAGTTTGGGGAGTTCCTTATTATAAAGTATGATATTAACTTGATATTAGTATCATACCTCCTTCTAAAGAATAATCTCAATTAAAAATTATGCTATTTTAATTTTTGTTACTAACCCATGGCATTGGGTTAGGCATTTAATGTGTTCTTTCCATTTCCTCCTCTCATGATCTAATGACTATTTACAAAGTCATATTCTAAAAACACTTTTTCCATTTCTACACGTGTCAGGGAACTCAATACAATTAATGATTGAAAGGAGATAGGAAATCAGCTACAATATTTTTAAATCAGATTTAATTGAAGTTTTCATTATTTGGAGAAATTTGTGGAAAAACTGAGTAGAAAATTATGAAGGAGTTACTCAGAATGAGTTTGTAGTCCACTGCTAACGTGCCGGATTATGGGTGATTAAGCACAGGATTTCTCCGTTGAAGGACATTTTGCAGAGTATAATTTCATTTAGGTATGAAAATACATGTAAATTATGTCAAACCATATACTTGAACACAAATCTGACATCCAACTTTTTCTTGGCAACAAATTTGTGATATCGCTATACCAACAACTTATTAAAGAGACACTAGTTTCTTAAATTGCCCAGGACAGTCTGTACTGTTGAAAGAAGCATTAACAGATGTTTCATCTCAACATTTCAGTAAGTTTTATTCTGGAAATTCTTTTTTTTTTTTAAAAATACCCACTTTAATTTCTCTGTTTAATAATTTGATATAATTATTTGGGAAAACTGTTAGTTTTCTTTATCCACAATTATCTCAATATCACACCCTCCCCCCAAAGCTTGCAGAGGGATACCAGACAAATTGAAGTAACACATTCTATTAGCTAAAGATTTTTGAAGTTAGAGTTAATATAGAAATCTGAACATTTTCTCACCCCTAGCTGTTTTTTTCCCTTTGTAGCCCACCCCATGATCCGATGCAGCGGAAACAGTTCAGAGTTAGCAAAAGAGAGATTTAAACACATCTGGCAACAACAAACAATGAAAATTCCATTAGTTCAATAGTTAGAGATGTGTGTATAAATAGAGGTGAAATGAAAATAGAAGGCAAATATAACAAATCCAAGTGATTACTTTTCTTTTAATTCTCCATTGTGTTCAACAGCTGAGTGAGTGAGACTCTGAGACCCCGTAAATAGTTGTTCTTTCACCTCTTTCATAGAGGACTGATTATATGGAAAGTTTAAAGACCCCTCCTGGGGGAAAAAATGTTTTCCTGCTGTCAAAATTCAATCTTAGCTAGTAGCAGCTAATTTTAAAAGGCATTGTTCCTTGATTAAGATGTTTGTTCAGAAGCATGCCTTTTAATGCATTTAGGTTTTTATTACTTGCTAAATTTATTTTCTAGAATATCACTGCACATAATATTATCTCATAGTAGTAGATTTTGTATACATCTTGGGGTAACATACTGTGGTTTCTTTAACGTGAAATAAATGAAAATATGTTTCAACATCATTTCAACGTCACTAAATTCTGTAGTAGAAACATTGTCAAACTACATGAGAACACTACTCGGAGTAAATATATTTGTTGTGAATAATGTACTTACCCAGCACAGCTCCTAAGGAAATTCTTGGTGAGATATTCTTAGGATGGAATTTGATTTTCTGAGATTCCGCAGGGGAGATTTACCCCCAGGCTAGGTGGGGAAGAGAGAGAGCCTTGCAATGTGATCCTGCAGGCAGGGTGAGGTCCAGTTAGCAGAGCTGGATGATCCTAAAGCAGGAGGTGACACTCTTTGCTGGAGAGAGAGGACTGTTCTGAGTAGATTGGAAGTGTTGTCACATTGTATGTGCTCAGCAGCAGAAGGGAAACATCAGAGCTTCCTGTTACATCACTCTGACCCCGCCTGCAGTTAGTGTTAGGTTACTTTCTTTCTCAAATAGCATTCCCCAGGAAAGCAGCACTCCTTTCTTCTTCTGAGACAAGAGCAAGATGCAGCCTGAACAGACAGAGATCATATGCTGTATGAATACATTGTGAGCAGCAAAAGCTGGCTGGATTTCACCTTGACTGAGTTCTGTTAGAACTTGCCAAACAGAGCTGCCTGTGATTTGAAGGAAATCTGAATGTAACATTCTACTCAAAGAGTTAAAGGAATCACGAGAGTGTGTGTGCGTGTGTGTGCTGAATTATACCTGACAAAGCATTGAGGACATTTTTTGTCTAACGTGTCTATCTTTGTAAATGAACACAGAAAAATAATAACTGCTCCCATCGTAATTAATTCTATGATCTGACTCATTAATTTGGAGCACTCATAATCAGAGCTCTTCCTTGATCAGTTTTCCATAATTAATGACAAAACTTTATCCTGTATGTTTTTCAACTTTTTTTTACTTTGTTCATGACATAATTACGTATGTGTGTCATAAACAAAACATTTGTGTGTGTGTATATGTTGTGTGTGTATATATATTCATATACGTAGAATTATTTTTCATTATCTATAAGTAGACATTTTAGAGAAAATACCCCTTTGAGAATATATTCATAAGACTAAAATAATTGTACATATTTTTAAATATTGGACTTAATTATGCTATCACCTATGAAATAAAAAAGCAATTTATACTACAACACTTATACCTCAAAATAGCCTTAACAAAAATGCAGGTAATTTATAAACATAATATTATGAAACAATGTAAAATGTGTAACATACATTAATTTTTTAGAAAAAGTTCTGCCTCAAAATATAATTTTATTCTAAATGTGTTTAATGAATTATTGGAAACTATCAGGGAAGAAAATTTTAGATTTGAAATGCACTTGTCTTTTGATAATGAGGTAAATCTGTGAGATACAGCAATAATTATAATTGCTGAAACCTCTACACCATTGAAAATCACTTAATTTATCTGGGCATCAATTTTTTCTCATCGGTAACTAGAAGAGATGGATCAAATAATATCTAAAATCCCTTCTATCTCTAAGACTTTGAATCAACAAATTATGTAACATTTAGAAATAGATAAGACATTGTAGTGATTATTCAATTCTTAGTAAATTTGAGATCAGAGGCACTGAGAAATGGGGAAGTCATTGCAATTCAGGAACAAAATGAGATGCTCACACTCTGTAGACTAACAAAGGAGGACAAGGCAACATAAATTAAAGGGATATCATCTCTCCGAAGCAGTATGCTCCTGTTGTCATTTTTATTACCTGGATCCACGGAAGAAACTTACCACACAATCTTTGATATTAAAGTCAATAGGATCAAGGTCAATAAAAATACATACATGCAAAAAATAGGGTACATACCAATCTCCATCAATTATACTTAAAAGACTTCTAAGAAACTGAATTCAAACCTATTTGGTTCTTAGGAGAGAGAAAATAACCAGAGGAGTTAAACAGCCAGGTTATAGAATATTGTATTTCCAGTTATGGCTTGGTCTTGCTTTGCCTTGGGAGGCTGCTGAGGTGTACCTCATTTTGAGCTATTTCCTTCAGCCCGTGAGAAGGAAAGTAGATGTTGCAGATGATCGCTGGCTCCACGAACAGTGGCTCTTTAATCAGAACGCTGATGTGGATATTCCCAGGTGAAAGCTTTGCTGAATTCTGCTGTAGAGGGAGCACATAGCCCAGGGAACCACTAAGAAAGAAGTACAAAGCACTGGGATTGGACCAAGAAACATGAAATTCCAGTCCTCGTTCTGACGCTTTCTTGTGTGTCCCCTAACGAAACTTTTTAGGTGCCAGTGCTTTCATTTTAAAACTCAGAGCAGAATCATATACTAGATTTTTTTTTTTTTTTTGCTGAGGAAGATTCACCTTGAGCTAACATCTGTTGCCAATCTACCTCTTTTTGCTTGAGGAAGATTTGCTGTGAGCTAATATCTGTGCTAATCTTCCTCTATTTTGTATGTGGGTCGCTGTCACAGCCTGGCTGCCAATGAGTGGTGTAGGTCCATGTCCAGGAATGGAACCAGGGCCACCAAAGCAGAGGGTAACAAACTTAACCACTAGGCCACAGGGCCAGCCCTACATTTTAATATTTGTATGATCACTGTCCATGTTTTCTCATCTCCTATGTTTAGAATAGTATCTGACCCCTAGAAAGAGATCAATATATAGCTTTTCAATTTAAGTTATGAAAAACTAAAACTTTTCCCAATAAGTTTGCAAAAGCATTACTTTTTTTCCCAAAGATTCATTGATTTCATTTACACTAGTGAAGTCTAGTAAATGAAAAAAAATCTATGCTTTGAACTTATGTCGTAAGACTCTTAAACCAACGCTCTTTCTCCTCTACTATACAGCAAGTGTTATACTAAGTGGAAGGCTAATAGGTTAGGTTATAGTATTTATGTTCAAGTTATTGGTCAGGCACATGGTTATTGTCCCTAAAGATCTAATAATTTTCATCACTATCATCTATAAACCTTATTCAGAAATAACAAGCAAACTGCATCCCACTAATCAGATCCTTAAGAGTTGCCGTTTCATAAACTCCAGGTGAAATAAACGGCTTGAAGACTTCCAGGGAGCTCTGGGTATGGGGGGACAAGTGAAAAGATAGATAATGCAAAATTCTCAAGTACACACTGAAGCATGATGAAAAATATTTGGAAAAATGCAGTAGAACAAATTGAAAAGATTTCAATAATCAATGAGGTGATTCTTAGCCAATGTGGCATTAATCAATACATTAATTCAGCCTTCTGTATTTCATATATATATATATATATATATATATATATATATATATAAAATAATGTTTCCCAGAACAATTTGAAGACACTTGCTAATCATTTAATATGCAGTGTGATCGGGCTTATATTTTGAGCTAGATACTGTATTAGTTGTGTTGGGGAGTTATGGAAAAATAGGATGTGTCCTGCTGTCTAGTTGTTTACAGCACAGATTGACTATCACACAAGGAATCATGTGCCAAATTCTCTGCAATTAGCAACTAATGCTGCCAACACAGGGTCTAGATGTAAACACGCAGGACACTGTCAATAAGATTCTCTATAGAACTGAGCAATGATGTATAAATGAAGAATGACAGATATAATGATAAAATAATCATACTGGTCTATTTCAGAATACTGCACACAGGGTTGTGCCTACTCTTGCAGTCCCGTGTCAGGCTTACAAGCACTGCAGTCCCTTAATAATGAGTACCGATGACCATGTGAAATGCCCTTTGACTCACACTCAGGATGAGACGAACTCAAAATCTGAGGATTACTGTTTATATTATTTGACCGAGTTAGTTAAATTAGACGAAAAATGTTGTTTGACAAATTTAGTTCTCTACAGGCTGAACTGACCACTTCTTTTGAATTCATGTGGCTACTTCCTTGGAGCGTAGTTCCGCTACAAAAGCAAACAAGCAAAACAAAACAAAACGCCTTTACATGAAACGTTATGGACAGACCGTCCTGGTAAGGGTTCAGGGAAGAACTTTGAAAATGATTTCTATGAAGTTTTTCAGGTTTTACGCTGTGGGTTAATAATTCCTCTGTGCTCTCAATTGTCTGAAAGTCATTACTTACACTGAGAGAGAATTTATGCAGTCAACAAAATTATGTATACCATGCTTTATTAAAAATGCTCCAAAAATTTGAGGAGAAGCATATAATTTTTTATAATCTTTATGTCAAAAATTCTAGTAATGAAATAAGTCAATCTGAACTTTTATTATTTTACCTAACAATTGCTTAGCATTTTTCAAGTTATTTTGTTACTAAATGAATTGCATTTAGTAAAAGGACCTGGATCTGATGGCTGGAACATGGAGAGTGAATATGCTATTTTCTATTATTAAAATCAGAGGGCTGATTGTGCACATAATTTATCATCTTGAGGGAAATCATGACGTTTGTCATAACATCAAATATTTTTAAAACATTTGCTATGAATACGAATTTGAAAAGAGCAGAAAATTTTAAATATGAAATGAGTAACATTATATCAGGTCCATATATAGAAAAATAAAACTATTTTACTGGCCTATAAATAGTATTTCTTTTAGTATTTTATAATTTGTTTCCCCAAGAGAGTCAAACGACATGTCAAAAACAATTGGCTGAAAAGCTGCCTACTCTTTTCATTGATTCTTGTTAAGTTCTGATGGACCTGGATCTTGAAAGGAACTCAACATTTTATTATAGATCTTCATTAGTGTTTGAGCCTCTCCTCCCAGAAAACGGGGGATAGTTGCTAAAATAAACAGCTAGCTCTAGTAAATGAGATATACCATAGACTAATTAAAAATGAAAATTTTAACACAACGAGATTATAAGTGCTCACTTAAATGAGGCTACAGAATGAACTTCTTCCAGGTGAACACCCTCAATTAGAGTGATCATATGCCCCGGCTTGCTAGGGCAGTCCCAGTTTATATAAACTAGGACACCCCACGAAGTGTCCTAGTTTAGATGAAAAATTATACATGGTCACCCTAGCCATACTTATCCATACTGCATTGACAAGTGATACATAAATACTGAGAGTGAGTGATTTGTTTGGGAAACTGGAGTCTTCTTTCCCAGAAGAATTTAAAGTAATTCTTTCTATTTCTAGGATAGTTTTGGTTGGCATTGATAAAGATGCTCTTTTCATCTCTGGATGTGTATTTATTGTGAGCTTGTTCTGAAATACTTCTTATTTGCTGAATATCAATCAACTGTGAAAATAAATGGTTTACTTAACTTTGTGTTTATGCATATTAACGTAAGTAGTATTTGATTAAATGACTGTGTCTTATATTTTGCTTACAATTTAATCATTAAGTTCTAAAGATGCCAAGTAGTATGAAAGTTTTCCCAGTACAGACTATTTTATTCAGCAACTATT